TTGCGATTCCGAGAAGAACACGTCCGACAAGTAGCATGATTTTATTGACCGATGCTGCACAGACAAGAGCTCCGATTGTGAAAATCGCAGATGCTCCGAGGATCACTTTTCGGCGACCAATGTAGTCAGAAGAGGTACCGGACATTAAGGAGCCAACTGCCGCCATACCTAAAAGCTTTGAAATAGGGTTTTAGTTATTGTAGATGCGCCTTGATGCGGAGATTCCAAAACTATAAATTTCATGACGTTTGAATAAAAACTAAGCGAGTTATGATCATTTAAATTTTAAGACAGTGCATTTTACTACTACCAAGCTCAAATTTGCTACTGCTGGGCAGTAGCAATTCTTCATTTTGGTACTGCTAAGCAGTAGCAAAATGGAACTTTGCAGTACCAAAGTTTGAATTTTAGCACTGAACTGAACCTTAAAACATTTGTAACTCGGTTAGTTTCCAACCGATTTTAACGATTTTTCGCTTAAAATGTTCCTATTTTCACGAATTTTCAGACTTTCAATTATTTTTTAAAAGTCATTACTATTCTTTCTGGAAATTGGTGATTTAAAGGGGGCCAGACAGCAAAAATTTCGGGGGCAATTTCAGGGGGCGTGCATTCTGACGTCGCGGTGTTCGCACCTAAAGCACGCAATCCCACGCGCAATTTTTATTTTTTTTATTTCCCGACTTTATTTTTTCAATTTTTAACTATTTTAAACATTAAAAAAGCTTTTTCTTCTTATTTATTATAAAACCCATATAAAAGAGATTTTTCATGTAAATTTCAAGTTCAATCGGCCGATTATTCTGCCAGTGGCCGGTGTTTTCTATAGACATGCGAAACAACTATTTTCTCTCCGATAACCGTTTCTTCACCGTTCCTAGTTATTTCTTCTCGTTGTTACTCTGGGAATAAAAAAAATGTTTTATGACTGGGATTTTCAGAGACGACTCCTCATCTACTGCTATCTTCGCCTTTCGACGACGAACCATGCACGAGAATGTTTTTAATTCTGTGATTTTTTTCAATTGTTAGGTCCCTTTCTAAGAATTGATTGTAGTTTTTTTTCATAATTTATTTGTTAACATAATGAAACACATATTTTTTCATTTTCAACTGATTTTGATATCACGGAGCTAGGCCTCGGCGGCGCGCTGGTAGCCCTTCAGAAATTCCGAGTTCAAAAAGTACAATCCCAAAGAAACAAGAGAAGAAAAAAATAAAAACACTAGCAGGGATTGAACCTCTGACCTTCCGAATACTAGCGTAGAGCGTACCTACAACACTACGCGTGTAAAAGGCGAACACATCGTTTTTGTGTATTATGAAGCGACGCCGCAGCAGCAAGCGGGTGAAGAAATTAGGGTGACAAAAAAGAGCATTTTTTCGTCGGGGATGTGTTTTTTTTCAGGTTTTGAAGTACATAGCTATATTTATACTTCAGAGTTACATCTTTTGATAAAAAACAAAAATTTTGAAATTTTTGATGTCTCCCCTCCTTTAAAGAAATTTATTTCAGAAAAGTTCTCAAAATATTCAAACTCCCATATCTCTGTTAATTTTTATCCGATTTTAATGATTTTTGGCTTAAGATATTCCAAAATTTCTCAATTTTCAAACTTTTTAAAACTATATCTTACCTGGTGAAATACTAACCAACACCTCCTGCCATACAGTATCCATAGGTTTGAGCCCAGGTGCATCTGGCATGTACAACATGGCCGCCGACACCACAGAAGTGTCATATCCGAATAAAAATCCGCCGATAACAGCGGCAGATGCTAAAATGTACACAAATAGTCCCAATTTTGGATTGTGAGCCGGCTTTTCCTGGCCACTACTTGAAAATGCGGCCTGGAAGGATTTTTTGAATATTTGAAAAACACATTTTCGATCTGAAATTGAAAAGAATTGGACTTAAAAACTCACAATAGCAACCATAGTTCAGTTTTTTTCCGTTTTTCAGTAATGCGTCTTTAAAGATTACAACTTTTTCGGGGGGTGAGCACCAATTTTTGCCACTGATAAGCGACGATTTTTATACAGGAATCTCTCGCCAAGGAGGCGCAGGGTTTTGACTTTTAGAAATCAGTTTTTGGAGAATTTCAGAACTTCTTATCAGTGAATTTATGGAAAAAGTTGGTCAGAGAGTGTGGGGAATCGAGAGGATCTTTGGGGGAAGACTTTTAATGATTTTCGAAGATCGTTAAAATTTTTTGAAGTATCAAAGTGCATTCCATTTTAATTGCACACTGTTCAGTGGGTCATAAAAATTTTCGAGGTTTGGATTCTTTTGATTTTTTGAAAAGGTTTGTGTAGTTCCTGTTTTCCTACTATTCCAATGCGTTCTAAGGAACCTGAAACCCCTTAAAAGTCATGAAAATCCCACGAATCTATGTGAGGCCCTTCTGGTTTAACCTATTTCCACTTTTCAATTTCTCAAAACTTCAAAAATTTCTATCAGAATCGGAATAATCTAAAATTCAATTCAAACAATATATTTCGAATAGATTACAAAAATCTGAAAATTTAATTTTGCAAATACTCTTTTGATCTCCTTATTTTTATCATTGTTTTGTTCAGAGTGCAAATTGGTGATAAAAACGACTATAGTGTTCTAAAGTTTCCTAAACTTTGTTTCTATTTTCTATTCTTCAAAATAAATTGATCCCAAAAATAACTTTTCCTTTAAAATTGAATGAAAATTGATTGATTTACAATTTTTTGAAGTTCCATTTCAATATAGAACTTTTACCTTTTTGCTACTGTATTTTTTTAAATTTTCAAATGATATGATAAGGGACAAATTTCCAACAATTAGAGCCAAAAATCGTTTAAAACTGATGAAAACTGACCAAGTTACAAGGGATTGAAGTTTAGACACTGTGCTAAATTTTCAATTTTGGTACTGCAAAATTCAAATTTGCTACTGCCAAGCAGTACCAAAATCAACGGCGCTCAAACTGCAAAACACTCTATTTCAGTTAGTTTTTGTTCAATTTCATTGATTTTTGGCTCAAAATGACGGAAATTTTCTAAAGTAAACGAGTTAGGACAATTTTCAAGGAAGTCGTGCTTTCATTTTCTCATCTTTTGGTCAGTTTACAGAACTTTTAATTTTTACAAATTACTTTGACGGATGCGCCTTGAAATTCTGATACCGAAAATGTTAATGTCATAAAATTTTGATAAAAACGAAGCGAGTTCTGAGCGTTTGAAGTTTGAAGGCAGTGCATTTTACTACTGCCAAACTCAATTTCGCTACTGCTAAGCAGGTGCAAAATCCAATTTGCTACTGCTAAGCAGTACCAAAATCAACGGCGCTGAAAATTCAAAAGACCATATCTCGGCTAGTTTTTGTCCGTTTTTCCTGATTTTTAATTTAAATTGATTGGAAGTTTCTTTTCTTTGAATTGTGCCAGATAACATTTTCAGAAAAATCAAATCTCAAGAGTTTTCCAGAGCTTTTGATACCCAACTTGTATCTCATGAACTGTTTCCATTTTTCAGATTCCATTGTCATTTTGCAAAAAAAAAAGAAATTGTTGTTCATTATTCCCGTACCAGTCACTGGTCTTCCCTCAACCCCGCCCTTCGATCTTTATAGACACACATACAACGACCAACATCATTGATCATTTTTTTGTCCATTATTACAGAGTTAGACATTTATGTATTCCATAATACATGTAAAACACACGTGATGATAAAAATTAGGTGTCACAGGAGAGAAAGGAGAATTAGAGAAAATTGTTCTTTGTCGCCACCCCGGAGGGGGGCAACTTTTGAAAATCGCAAAAAGAATTATCTGTTTTTTTAATCCTCTTACAATTTTTTCAAACGGTTTTTATTGAAAACTTTAAAAAGATGTAGGTCGAAGTGAAGGGAGCAAAGTTTCTATGTAGAAACATTTTCTGCAGAACATATCAAGAAAAAAAAAACGGATGGGACATAATAGTCGCGGTATCATAAAATTTTCCGAGGGGTTTTAAAACCAACCCACCGCTTCTCAAAACTATTGCATTTTCGTAAATGCATATTTTTCTTCTGGTTTTGGTTTTCTCGGGATTTTCTTGTTCAAATGCAATCGAGGACCCGGAATTTTTTGAGATTACTGTAGACAGAGATCATCCGGAGAAGGTTTATGAAGCGTTTGAACAGTTTAAAATACGGTAATTGGGACAGTTACCGCAAACGCTCTACTAGAAGAGCACCGAAACCGTCAACTTTGAGCTTATATATCTCGGTTCCAGTGAAAGATATGAAAAAGTAATTAACTGATAAAATGTTTATCATAATATCGAAAATATTTTATCAGTTGACCACTTTCTGAGATCTTGTACATCAACCAATATATAGGCTGAAATTTATCAGGTGGCCTTCTAATAGTGTGTTTACGGTAGGTTGACTAGTAGAAAACATTTAATTTTTTTAGGTACCAGAGAAAATATAAGGATGCAGCGGAAACTCAAAGGAGGATGCAAAACTTCATAAAATCGTATAATACTATTGGAATGTGAGAATTTTTTTCAGAGAATTTCGGCTAAAAATATCAATTGATAAAACTTTCCAGATTGAACCTAAAATCCAACGAATCCGGCTACACGTCAACTTTTGGAATCAACAAGTTTTCGGATCTCTCGTCAAAAGAATTCCAGCAAAGATTATCAAACATTGCACCAAGTCAGAAATCCAGAAGCACCATGAAAAAAGCATCACCCTTCTTGAAACGACACAAGCGCCAAGTTGACGAACTTCCGGATTCGGTAGATTTGAGATACGAGAAAGTGAACGGGCGTTATATTGTTGGAAATATTGTCAAGGATCAAGGATCATGTGCTTGTTGTTGGGGATTCGCGGTTACCGCTGTCGCTGAGGCAGTGTATGCAGCTAATGTTGGTCCATTTACGGTGAGAAAGGACATCTGGTCACACAGATACAGTACACCAAGTGCTAGAAAACTCCAATTCCTTTTTTTGTTTCCTAAGATTTTTTTTTCAAAATTACTATTCTAGGACCACTGAGAGCCGAGGTACAGCTATCTGAAGTTCCGGGTGCGAGAGGCACAGACGACGAGACAATCTAACTGTCTCTTCGAAACTTCAAACGGCTGTATCTCGGCTTCTAGAAGTGCTAGAACGTTGGTTTTTGAACTAAATAAAAATTCTGAAAGCACATTTTTCATATTTAAATCCTAGAAAAAATTGATTTGAGACCAAAAACTGTATAATAGGAATCATACGATATTGCTTTAAAAAAACTTCCCAGTTTCAGTACCTCTCCGAACAAGAGCTCTGTGATTGTGCTACTCCTGGAAGCCTTGGATGTACAGGTGGTGATCTGGTATGGGGAACGGAATACATTATGGGCCGAGGACTCGCAGCAAGCTCCACATACAAATGGGACGAGCATCGAGCCAATCAATCAGGAATGTGTGTATCCGAAGAAAATAAACGAGTACTTGTGGAGGATAAATTCGATTACTATTTTGCTGATCGATATAACGCTGAGGAGGAAATCATGGCAATGTTGGTGCAGTGGAAAAGTCCTGTTGCGGCGTGTAAGTGATTTTTTTTATGGGAAAAATAGGGGAGAAGATTTCAAATAATTTGAGCCAAACATCAATAAAATCGGATGAAAACTAACCGAGTTAAAAGGGTTTGAGGCTTAATTCCAAAAAATGAACTTCTCCATCTGTTAAAAATGTTTCTTATTAATAATTTCTTTCCGCACAGATGATAAGGGAAAAATTTGCAACAATTTGAGCTAAGAATCAATGAAAACGGTCGGAAACTAAGTGAGTTATGAGCGTTTAAAGTTCTGGGACAGTGCATTTTACTACTGCCAAACTCGAATTTGCTACTGCTGGGCAGGTGCAAAACCCGATTTGCTACTGCTAAGCAGTACCAAAATCAACGGCGCAGGAAATTCAAAACGATGTAATTCGGCTCATTTTTGTCCGTTTTCACGGATTTTTGACTCAAACTGTTTGCAATTTTCTTCTTTATTATGCAGTTTAAAAATTCTGAAAAAGTCGAATTTTAAGCCGAGTTATGACAACTTTTAAGCCATTCGTTGTTTCTTTAATTTTTGTAACTAATCAAAACTTTGAGTTTTTGAAAATAAATTGACAGATGCGTCTAAAAATTCTGATTCCAAAAATATTAGTTTCATAGAATTTGTATAAAAACTAAGCGAGTTATGCGAGTTTTAAGTTTTAGGACAGTGCATTGTACTACTGCCAAGTTCAAGTTTGCTACTGCTTACTATTAGCAGTACCAAAATGAATAACTCCGAAAATTCAAATCATTATAACTCAGCTTGTTGTTGTCCGTTTTTACTGAAAGTCGACTCAACATGTGTGAAATGTTCTATTTTATTATTTAGAATTTTCAAATTTTCAGCATTCGCCGTTGGAAATCGCTTCCGTTCGTATAGCGATGGAGTCCTTGTAGAACAAGATTGCGATTTGAAAGGGCCCTCATTCCATGCTGGCGCTATCATTGGATACGGATCGGAACGTGACTATTTCGGACGTATTCAGAAGTATTGGATCGTTAGAAACTCTTGGGGACCATATGACTGGGGAAACGAAGATGGATACTTCAAAGTGATTCGTGGAAGGGATTGGTGTGGAATTGAATCGATTGGTGCGGTTGGAGGACGGATTGCGGATCATACTCATGCTTGAATGAATTTTTATTATTCTTCTCGTTCTCTGTGTTCCAGGAGTCGCGGCATAAAAAGTTATATATCCTAGAAAACTCGCCCCCTGGGGAACATTCTCCAGACATGTTCACTCTTCCAAAAACGAGAAATTCTTTAAAAATATTCTTTGCGTCTCTCCTTTCCCCTCTCTGCCAACTGGACCATCGGGGGGTCCCCGGGAGCCAACGTAGTGTCCGATAAGAGAGAAAAAGAAGAAGAAGAAGAAGAAAAAATATGAAATTCAAAACCGATGTTTGTGTATGTGTGCTGGGTGAGCCCCACGATATCCAATATGTTTCGATGTATTTTGACATTAACCCCACCCCCCTTCCCCCACTGATCCCCTCTTCCTTCTTTTCTCTTAGAATTCAATTCTTTTCTTTTTTTTCAGAATTCGCAGAGAATTGGAATTTTCCAGATCGTAGCATTTTTCAAATTATCTATATCTCTAGTTTAAAGAAAGAAAGTTTGAAGTTTGGAGGCCGACAAGTCTAGGGTTTCTCGGCCACCAGATTGTAAACTAGCAACATATATTTGGCTGAAGAGGGACACGCAAATTTTATTTTCTAGATGGACAGAAAATTTTTTTTATAGTAATTCAGTGCAACGTTAAACGCTGATTCCAAAACTATAAGGATTTATAGCAATTAGATAAAAATCTTCCTTATAAATAAAACGCTAGAGGCGTCTGTCCGCCCCGGTTTCAGTCTGTAAACTTTTGAAAAGCTTGAAAAATTCATATAAATTTACGTGACCCTTTAAAAATAATTGAGGAGCTGAATCAGTAAAAAAACTAGATTGGTTCGCGCCGGAGGCGCACCAGTTTGCTAGTCATAAATAATAAAATAGAAAATTTTCAAGATTTTCATCCAAAAATCAGAGAAATCGGACATAAACTAGCCGAGATATAGTGTTTTGAAATTTTGGCGTCGTTGATTTTGGTACTACCCAGCAGGTACAGAATTGGATTTTGCACCTGTCTAGCAAAATCATAGTCGAAAAAAAGGTTCCGGGAACCCGTCTTAAAACTATTCGATTTGTCTGAAAGTTTCAGGGTATACTAAACAAAATTCATTGTTGTAGTTGACAACTGTTTTGAAAAATCGCTCCCAAGAAAGATATGCCACGTGGAAGAAGCCGTCCTTTTAAGCTGGGCAGGTGCAAATTTGGATTTTGGTACTGCTTGGCAGTAGCAAAGTTGAGCTTGGCAGTAGTAAAATGCACTGTACTGAAACTTTAAACGCTCATAACTCGCTTAGTTTTTATTCGAATTCTATGGAAATTGTATTTTTGGAAGCAACATTTTTGGCGCATCTGTCACAATAATTTGAAAAAAAAAATTAAAGTTATGTATAGTGACAAAAATTTAAGGAAAAAACGATTTGCTTGAAAATGGTCATAACTCGTATAATTTTTTAGGTCCAAAAATGTTTTATTGTTTAAATGAAAAAATAATCCAATAAAAAAATTTTATGCTAAAAATCAGTGAAGTTGAGCAAAAACTGACTGAAATATATTGGTGTGAAATTTCAGCACCGTTGATTTTGGTACTGCTTAGCAGTAGCAAATTGGTTTTTGCACCTGCCCAGCAGTAGCAAAATTTAACTTGGCAGTAGCAAAATGCACTGTCCTAAAACGTAAAACGCTCATACTCGCTTAGTTTTTATACAAATTCTATAAAATTAATATTTTTGGAATCAGAATTTTTAGACGCATCTGGCAATGTATTTTCGGAAACTCAAAGTTTTGACTAGTTACAAAAATTAAAGAAACAAACATTTTGAAACCTCATAACTCGCTGAGTTTTCATCCGTTTTCATTGATTTTTAGCTCTAATTGTTCTAAATTTTTCCTTTATCATTAATTTATAAAACCCGTCCGATAACTGCCTTTTTTCACCCTCTAATTTCCTCCAGAATCCCTTCTGTTTCCAAAAAAAGTAAGAAATTATAGCTTCTTCTTCTTCTTTTTCTTCCTCCAATTGCATATCCTGCAATCATGTTGTCTCTCTTGTATGTGCTCCTTGCCTCGACGACCACCAAAAAGAAAGAAAAAAAACTTCGTGGTGGTGTCCACCAACAATTTTCAGGGACGTCTAGTAGCCCAGCCTTCTAAATGAGGTCCCCCCGTCCGCTCCTCCTGGTAGCTCTTTCCCTTCTGGCAGCCTTCAAACTACTAGTGCCAGAAGAAGAAGAAGAATATCACTAGAGAGATAGTAGGGAAAGGTGGAGAGACGCAGAGAGAGACATTCTGCTCCGGAGAGCAGAAGCCCGGAGGATAGGAAGAGAAGAGAGGAAACGGGGGGACTTGGGAAAAAGAAGAAAAAGAAGAAGTGAAAACGTATTGATCTCTCTCTCTCTCTCTCTCTCTCTCCATGGAGAGAAAGGTTGAGAGAGAGTGTAACTCTTTCTTATTCTCCTTCTGTCTCTCCTCGTTTTTCTTCATTGTCCTCCTCTTCCCTTGCTAACTGGTCCATTATTGCTCATTATCGGTTCTTCTTGTCTTCTTTTCTGTCATTTTCTCTTTTCCTGGAAATCAGGTTGCTCTGATTTTGGTTGGACACTGTTTGGGGCTTATTTTGCAATGTCAGATTGCAATTAGATTTGAAAATAGCTGAAAAATGACTGAAATTTTCTTTAAAATGTCTGAAAAGTTACTGAAAAATTATACTGAATTTTTTGAGGTCATGCTGAAATCAATTTTTCAACATTTTTGAAAGTTCAATGAACGTTTTAGTCAAAAGTCACAAAAATTGAATCATTTTGAAAACGTTATGATTATTTAAAGTTTTTGGAATCAAATAATTTGATTCCAAAATTTCAAAAATTCTCAAGTTTCTTGGAAATCAACGATTCAGTTCAACTTTTTATAAATCTGAAAAAGAGAGAACAACTACATATTTTAAGACAAGTTTTATCTAGATTGGTTCATTTTGAAGAAAGTTATGATAAATTGAAATTTTGGAATCAAAAAATTTGATTCCCGAAATCGTCAAAATGTCATAACTTTCTTTAAAGTTTCCCAAATTTCTTGGTTTCTAGCTAAAAATTTGTGGATTTTTCACCATTTTCAAACAAATCAGTGTAACAATAGAAAATTTCTCTGGTTTCGACCTAAATTGGAATTTTTAATTTCAAAAATTGATTTTGAAATTTTTTTTTGACAATTCTAAAAAACATGGTTATCGGCCAATCCTTGTTAGGGTGTTTTTAGGATAGTGCCGCGGTCGACGGCAGTCGAAAAGAAGTATTGATTCATTCAGTAACTTTCTATTCACCACCACCACCTCCTCCTCCCCATCCATTCCCATTTTGAATCCATACTAAATTCGCTTAGCACGCTCTTTCATTTTCTTTTCATTCTCTTTTCTCTCTCTCTCTTTCTCTCTCTCTCTCTCTCTCTCTCTCTCTCTCTCTCTCTCTCTCTCTCTCTTTTCGTTTTTCAATTTTCCACGGTTATGCTCCATGTACGATGCTCCGTAATCCCCCCCACACGCATCCATCCCCGCAATTTCATTATAATAGTGCCTCTCTTTCCCTTGAAGGTCCGTCCTTTTAGCTTTAAAAGGAGAAATGGTTAGTTTTGATTTTTATTTTAGATCGGTTTCTCAAAATTTTTATGATTCCAAAATTTTGAAATTTCATAACTTCCTTCAAAATTGCCCATATTGCTTGATTTTTACCTTAAAATGTGTGGTTTCTCTTCTATTCTTGATTTTTAAACATTTCTAGTATTTTAGATCAGCCATTTTCAAGTTTTACATAGTATTTACGTTCCTTCTTGCTCCATTTCTTTAGAAACCATATATTCCATAGAGCCAGTCTTTTTTTTTCAATTTTGAAAACAGTTGAGCGTAATTGGGTCTCACATAAAACTATAATTTATAAAAAATAATACATTTTAAGACTAATTTCATCAAAATTGAACAATTTTTAGGAAAGTTACGATCATCTGAAGATTTTGGAAGCAAAAATTTTGGGTTCCAAAATTTTCAAAAGACCATAACTTCCTTCAAAATTTCTTGAAAGGCTTGGTTTCTAGCTCAAAATGTGTGATTTGATTTCTTCTCAGTGCATTTTCATTCAAAGAAAGTTGCATCAATTTTGAAGAAAGTTATGATGAGTTGAAACTTTCGGAATCAAAATTTTGAGTTCCAAAATTTTTAAAATACCATAACTTTCTTCAAAACTGCTCAAAATGTTTGGTTTTTAGCTAAATATATGTGATTTTGTTTTCTTAATTTTGATTTGTAGTAGTCTGTTAAAAAATTAACTGTTAGCTGTTGAAGTTCACATAGAATTCGCCTACACAAAAATGTTCAAGATTAGACCGCGTTGCTGGCGCTTAGAAGCCTAAAAAGGCTTTGAAACGTTTTGGAAATTAATGTTGACACATTTTCGAATATTCCAGAAACATTTTAAGTTAAAGATCACAAACCTTGAACCATTTTGAACAAAGTTATGATGATTTGAAATTTTTGGATTCTAAAATTTTCAAAAAGTTATAACTTCCTTTAAAATTGCTGAAAGTTCTTGGTCTTTGGTTCAAAATGTGTAGTTTTTTGCTATTTTTGAGTTTAACATGAACATTTTAAGCCGAAAATCTAAAAAATTGAACCATTCTAAAAAATTGAACCAGTGGAAATTTTTGGATTCAAAATTTTTGGATTCTAAAATTTTTAAAATGCCATAACTTTATTTAAAATCGCTCAAAAATTTTGGATTTCAGCTCAAAATGTGTGGTTTTTATTTTTTTTCTTTTATTTTTTTTCAAACTTATTGAACTGGCTTATTAACTCATCTAGCTTTTCAGAAACTCTAAACTATCTGTTCAACTTTTACATAAAATCTTCGTACATAAACATGTTAAAGGAAGTTTCTATTTGTCCCCCTCCCGCTCTTTTCTCATTGCTAACTGCTCCATTATGTTTTCATTTATTCCACGGGACCTCCGTAGACACAACTACACATTTTCTCTGGACATTTGTACCCCCCTTTTCGTTTCACCGGCCTCCTAATCTTTTTTTTCCTTTACAACTTTTAGTAGGCACCCGTCCGACGGGCCAGGGGGAACAGAAGCAGAAGTGACATCATTTAGTTGGAAAATGAGCACGAAAATGTGCTAAGAAAATGGCAGCAGCGGGGGGAATGGCCGGGAGAAGAAAAAAAACCTCCGAGACATAGTTAATGAGGTTTTCCCACTTTCTCCTTTTTTTTGGAATTTTTTCTGTTTTTTTTTTGCAGAAAAATGTTTTTTTGACACTTTTTTCGAATTGTTCGATTCTTGAAATTAGCTTTTGGTTCGAATTTTTCCTGAATTTTCTTCTAAAAATTGAAAAAATTGAGCTTCTCTAAAAATTTGAATTTTACAAAATTTCATGATAAATTCTCAAAATCTTTCCAAGAATATTGAGTAAAAGTTTTATCGAAATAGCGATATTCAAAAAAAACAAACAGAAAAAACAAACACATTTTGAGCTAGAAATCAAGAAATTTGAGCAGTTTGAAAGGAAGTTATGATTTTTTTAAATTCTGGAACCATAGATTTTGATTTCAAAAATTTGAAACCATCATAACTTTCTTCAAAATAGTTCAAGTTTTGTGATCTTTAGCTCAAACTGTTCCTGGAATTTTCGAAAATGTTTCAACATTACTTCCAAAAACATTTCAACGCTATTTTAGGCTTCTAAGCACCAGCAACGCGGTCTAATCTTGAACATTTTTATGTATGTTGTGAATTCTATGTGAACTTCAATAGTTAATAGTCAATTTTTCTTTAACAAACTTTAACAAATCAAAAACAAGAAGAGAAACCACACATTTTGAGCTACAAACCAAGCATTTCGAGCAATTTTGAAGGAAGTTATGGTATTTTGAAAATTTTGGAATTCAAAATTTTTGATTCCAAAAATTTCATATGATCATAACTTTCTTCAGAATGGTTCAATTTCTGGGATCTTTGGCTTAAAATGTTTATAGAATTTTCGAAAATGTTAAAAACTTAGATATGTTCAAATGTCAGAGCTTTTTTTAGGCCTTGAAAGCATCCAAAAAATTGGTCTCATAGTCTTAAAGGTGGGGGGGACATGAAAAAAATAATGTTCTCGAAATTCAAAGATGCCCCTCGAGGAGTTGAACTTGTGAAGGCGACGATTGAGGGTGCGGCGCCGCTACCGACTGAGCCACGCGGGCAAAGAGAAAGCGTCCGCCCGATTGCATACATAAAGGCGAGGACGACAGCTGTACGCAGAGTGACATTAAGCGTTGTACACCGTGACGGTAGAATGCATACTCTAGCTACAAAAAAACTACGAAAAATCTCCTGTCCCCCCACCTTTAAAACCGTTATTTTGAACATCGTCCTTTTCTCAATTTTTGAATATACTCACTTCCCATATTATCACAATTTAACTGTACTTTTACAAGTTTTTTTTCCTGCGTTTCCATTCTATTCTCAGACCCTTTCCATTTGAAAAATAACCTTTCCCATTTTCTTAATTTTTGAACTTTTTCTGAAATCAATTTTTTTCAACTTTTCAGGCCGTCTAGGCGGAGAGGGATACAAAAAGATAACGTCCCTTCTTCTTCACGATGAGCGAGATTTACTCGCCGTCGCAGTCGAAGGGATTCAATCAACCATATGGATTTCCGATGAATTGTAATCTTAGCCGGGCGTTTATGGAAATGACAGAGGAGGACCGGAAATGTCTCGAGGAACGCAAATATTGGTGTTTTTTGTTGAGCAGGTAATTTTTCTGAAAATAGAATACAAACTACACATTTTGAGCTAGAAACCAAGAATTTTGAGCTGTTTTGAAGGAAGTTATGACATTTTGAAAATTCGGAATCAAAAAATTTTGATTCCAAAAATTCAAAATTTCCATAACTTTGAAAAATTCATTCTTTTTGATTGGAATAGTTATTCTTCGAAAATAGAAAAAAATCACACATTTTGAGCTAGAAACCAAGAATTTGAGGCTATTTTGAAGGAAGTTATGACATTTTTAAAATTTCGAAATCAAAAAATTTTGATTCCAAAAATTTCAAATCATCAACAACTTTTTTCAAAAACGTTCATTTTTTGTGGTCTTTGGCTTAAAATGTCTGAAATTGTCTAAATTTTAATTTATAAACATTTCAAACAAAATGGACTATATCCAAAAAAGTTATGACATTTTGAAAATTTCGGAATCATAAAACTTTGATTCCAAAAATTTCAATTGACCATAACTTTCTTCAAAATAGTTCAACTTTTGGGATCTTCAGCTTAAAATGCTCCTGGAATGTTCGAAAATGTTTAGATAATAATTTCAGTATAACCACATTCTGCGCCTCCATGATCCTTGTCGTCATCTGGCGCGTCGTAACACATTTATGCTGTCAACGGAGGGAGCGAGAATTCCCAGAGCCCGTACCTCCGCCAGAAGTGGTCGCAATCAATATGAATGGTTCGAAGCATATCGGCGGAGAGGCCGACCCATTTTTAAAACAGCAACAAGAGGAAAAACATTTGGGATGGATGACAGAGGTAAGATTTTGAATTTGGGGATATTAAAAAAATAATTTTTTAAAAATTCAAAATGTTTTTTGTTATATTTCGAAAAACTTTTATGTTGATACTATTTATTTTGAGCCTTTAATCTGAAAAAAAATCATATCAATAATTTGGAATGTGGGCGGAGCTTGTTTTTATTATTTTAGGATCATTTATTTTAGGAATCTCTAGCGGTCAAAATTTTCAATACAATCCGCGACCGACGGGCAAGTTTTTGTCCTATTTTTTATTGATATTTGATATTGATACATATTATTTTTTAATTGCACTAATTAAAAAAGAATGGAACTGAAAAAATTTTTTGGATTGATTTTAAAAAAAAATGAATTTGATGATTTTTTTTGTAGTATTTGGATTTTTTATGATTCCACTTCTATCCTATAGAACAAATCAATTATTTTTTTTGAGAGAATGGAGTAAGGGGAGATTTTGCGGGAATTTGAATTTTTTGAAAATAAAATTGAAAATTTGGGAACAATTTTTCTATTTAAGAATTTTATAATTTTGCTAATTTTCAGCTAATTTCAGCTATTTTTTTAAAAGTAAACCATCCAAGTTTCTATGAAATTTGTAAGTTTTCAATTTTCAAACAAATTCCAGGAATTCCAGATACCGTGAATTTGTTAACACTCTAATAGAACGCCACCCCTCACTTTCCACTTTGAGCCCGTATATCTCGGTTCCTGTAAAAGATATCAGTGGTCAACTGACAAAACACTTCTGATATTATGATAAAAAATTTATCAGTTGCCAACTTTTTTATATCTTTGACAGGAACAGAGATATATGGTCTCAAAGTTAAAAATCAAGGGTGGCGTTCTATTAGAGTGTTTACGGTATCTCAGTTTTTTTCTACTCGGATTTTTATACAAATTTCGAAATTTTCAAAAAAAAACTACAAATTTTGTGTTAAAAACCAAGAATTTGGAGCTATTTTGAAGAAAGTTATGGCATTTTGAAAATTTTCGAATCAAAATTTTTAATTCCAAAAATTTCAAATTATCATAACTTTCTTCAAAATTGACGAATTTTCATGAAATTTGTGTTGAAATATCTCAATTTTTGTCGAAATATAAATAATTGTAAAAATCAAACAAAATTGACAGTTTCCCTAAAAGTTATGACATTTTAAAAATTTTGGAATCAAAATTTTGATTCCAAATTTTTGCGAATTTTCGACATTTTCAGCAAGTTTTAGCTACCAAAATGTTTCGAATATTCTGAATTTTTCAAAAATTTTAATCCCAAAATTTCCCAATTACTCCATTCATCTCAAAACTCCACACACAAGTACATGGTGCATCGTGAATCGTGTCAGAATTGCATGACCAGTGGTCCAGTATTTTCTATCTTTTTTTGCATCGACTATCTCTACTTTTTGCATTTTTTTCACATTTTCGTCACGTCTTCAGAATTCTTCAGATGACGTGACAAAGGTTATGGCCCCCAATCTATCACCACCCGCCCACACACACACTGTCACTTTCTATTTTTTATTTTTTTTCCAGTTTTTTTTTCACTGGGAACTATATTCCTTCAATTTTTTTGGTAGTTTTTGATTGGAATGGAATTTGAAATCACCACTATCCGCCCCCACCGAGATTGTGATTGTGGAAAGGTGTACTGTAGGTAATATTAAGTTCATTTGATTTTAAAAAAAAATGTTTTTTTGGAATTTGTTAAAAATACCACCCATTACCTACCGTACACATTTCTATTTGAAATCACATAACATCCCGGTAATTTTTCACAAATTTTCCATTTTACAGGCCAAAGACTGGGCTGGCGAGCTGATATCCGGACAAAGTTTGACGGGACGATTTCTCGTCTTACTCGTCTTCATATTATCAATTGGATCGTTGATAATCTATTTTTATGACGCTAGTTTGTGAGTTTTTTGTTTGAAATTATAACTAAAATACTTTTGAGAATTCCGGAAACATTTTAAGCCAGAAATCACAAAAATTGGAGAATTTTGAAGAAAGTTATGATTAATTGAAATTTTTGGAATCAAAAATTTTGTTCCAAAATTTTCAAATTTTCATATTTTTTTGGATATTGTCCATTTTGTTTGAAATGTTAACAAATTAAAAATATAGACAATTTTAGACATTCTGAGCCAAAGAACACAAAAATTGAACGATTTTAAATGAAGTTATGACAAATTTAAAATTTTGGAACCCTAAAATTTTTATTCCAAAATTTTCAAAATTTCATAACTTTCTTCAAAGTTGCCCAAATTTCTTGGTTTTGTGCTAAAAATGTGTCGTTTTTCTTTTATTTTCATAAAAATTAAAATTCTAAATCAAGGAAAAAAATTTCAGTCAAAACTTCCAAGTGGAAACATGCATACCATGGCAGGACAGTCCATCGCAACAAATCGATTTGGGATTCAACATATTTTTTCTCGTCTATTTTTTCATTCGATTTATTGCCGCTTCTGACAAAGTTTGGTTTTTATTGGAAATGTACAGTTGGATCGATTTTTTTACGATTCCTCCGAGTTTTGTGGCCATTTATTTGCAGAGGAATTGGTTGGGTAAGTTTTTGAACTTTTTTGAAAAAGTTTTGAAAATTGAGAGCTCAAAATTAAAAAAAAAAGATTTTAAAGAGACGCATTTGGAGACAGATTTTATTAAAATTGGTCCATTTTGAAGAAAGTTATGGTCATTTGAAAAGTTTGGAACCCAAACGTTTTGATTCCAAAATTTCTAAACGTTCTATTTTTCTTGGAAGCTGTCAATTTCTGAAAATGAAGTATTAGGCATCTTTTAGGACAACTTTAATCAAAATTGATCTACCTTGAAAAAAGTTATGGCTATTTGAAATTTTTGGAATCAAAAATTTTGAGTTCCAAAGTTTTCAAAATGTCATAACATCCTTCACAGTTGCCCGAATTTCTTGATTTTAGGCTCAAAATGTGTGGTTTTTCTTCTATTTTGACAAAAATTTTAAAAGACATAATTCCAGGATTCCGTTTCCTTCGTGCACTACGTCTGATGACCGTACCAGACATTCTTCAATACTTGAACATCTTAAAGACGTCGTCCTCCATCCGTCTAACCCAACTAGTCACCATTTTCGTCGCCGTCTGTCTAACGGGTGCTGGTCTAGTACATCTTCTGGAAAATTCTGGAGACTTTTTCAAAGGATTCATCAATCCACACAGAATCACTTATGCGGATTCGGTGTATTTCGTGCTGGTCACAATGTCTACAGTAGGATATGGTGATATTTATTGTACGACGTTGTGTGGACGATTGTTTATGATTTTCTTCATTCTTTTCGGCCTGGTGAGTTTTTTGAGATGAAAATTTCAGCTCTGTTCAAGTTTAAAATACCCCAAAAAAGTTTGAGGTCCAGAAAATTATTGCCAACTTCATACTTCTTTAACTTTCATTAATTCAGATGATACTGCAATTTTTTCATTAAACAGAATCTGAAAAACAGAGCTTTGATTTGATATTAAAATATTTGCCTGAATTATCGACGCAAAAATTATGCAATAGTTCTATTAGAGCTTGTTTCAATTCTAATTGGATTTTGAACCAGCTCAGCAGTACCAAAATAAAGAATTGCTACTGCCCAGCAGGTGCAAAACTTGACTTTGCAGTAGCAAAATCCGCTTCTTCATGAATTTCGAACTTTCATAACTCACATCATTTTCATTCAATTTTTATGAATTTTACATTTTCGGAGGAGCAAAAATTCCAATTCTGAAAATATAGATTTAGTGTGATTTCGGGGAAAGCTGAGCTAGTTCCAGTCATTGGAAACATTGACTCAAAGCTTTTCAAATACCATATCCTCTTTTTCAAAATTTACCTTTTTCAATCCGTCAAAATGTGCTGATTCCGAAAATATAAGTTTCATAACATTTAGACAAAAAACTAGCGAGTTACAGTCATTTTTCTGAAGAGATATGTGGATTTTGCTACTGCTTAGCAGGTGCAACTTTTCATTTTGCTGATGCCGAGCAGTACCAAAATCAGAGGAACCTTGCTCTTTTTTTAGAGGAATTTTGCTCTACTTTTTTATTTTTTGTTCAAATTTAATAAAAACTATACAGTCAGATTCCTAATTCAAAAGTGCATAGATTGATACAAAATTTCTGAAAATTCACAAAATTTTGGTACTGCTCATCAGGTGCAAAATCGCGGTAGTATTTTTCGGGTTTCGAATTTTTTTTCGGTGTTCTTTATTTTAATTTCGAGTCCCCCGACATTTCTGGGACCTCTAAACTGATTGTGAGTACCATTCATAACAATTTTGAAATTTTTCAGGCCATGTTCGCTAGCTACGTTCCGGAAATTGCGGATTTGATTGGAAATCGCCAAAAATACGGTGGCGAGTATAAAGGAGAGCACGGAAAGAAGCATATTGTAGTTTGTGGTCATATCACCTATGACTCGGTCTCCCATTTCCTTCAAGATTTTCTACACGAAGACAGAGACGACGTGGATGTCGAAGTGGTGTTTTTGCATCGAGTGGTACCGGATTTGGAGTTGGAGGGACTTTTTAAACGACATTTTACAAAAGTGGAGTTTTTCACTGGAACTGTTATGGACTCGTTGGATCTGAGTAGGGTTAAGGTTAGTTGGAAAATAATCCGCTTCAAAAAGTTAACTTTTTGTCACTCTAAATTGTATTTGGCAGATGCGCCTTAAAATTCTGATTCCAAAAATATCCATTTCACAAAATTCTGATGAAAACTAAGCGAATTATGAACGTTTGAAGTTTTGGGACAGTGCATTTTACTACTGCCAAGCTCAATTTTGCACCTGCCCAGCAGTAGCGAAAGTCAGATTTGCTACTGCTAGGCAGTACCAAAATGCACAGGAACCTTCAGAAAAAGTGTTCTAACTCGCCTAGTTTTCATCAGATTGTTGTGAAAAGTATACTTTCGGAATCTCCGTTTCTAGGTTCATAACCTGTCTTCAAAATAAAATTAATTTGTCTCTAAAACGAAATTTTAAAGTTAAAAAATTGCAATTCTGGTACTGCCCGGAAGAATTTTACACCTGCTGGGCAGTAGCAAATATGGTTTTGAAGCTGTTATTATATAATTGTACATATTTCCAGATCGGAGACGCAGACGCTTGCCTAGTCCTTGCCAACAAGTACAGTACGAATCCAGACGCCGAGGACGCTGCCAATATAATGAGAGTGATTTCCATTAAAAACTATTCATCCGATATTCGAGTAATTGTTCAATTGATGCAATACCATAACAAGGCCTATCTTCTGAACATCCCTTCTTGGGATTGGCGACGTGGCGATGACGTCATCTGTTTGGCAGAATTGAAGTTGGGATTCATTGCTCAGTCTTGTCTGGCGCCTGGATTCTCGACAATGATGGCGAATTTGTTTGCGATGAGGAGTTTTAAAACGGTAAGTTATTCAATTTTTGGGGATTTTTTTGTTATATGTATTAACAGTTTTGATATGCATACTAATTTTATATGTGTTTTGATGTTGAATTTCAAATTTACTATTTAGGCCCAAAAACAAATTAAGAGCCTGAAAATTTTTTGTAAAATTTTGAAATATATTTCATCTCTTTTTCTTAAACCAACTCTACAGTAACCCTTCTAACCTACATTGCTCATTGTTATACTAACTACCGTAACCCACACCGGTCTGTTATTTTCAGTCCCCCCATACTCCTCTCTGGCTCAACGACTATCTTCGTGGTGCCGGAATGGAGATGTACACTGAAAGTTTGAGTCCTGCATTTGTCAATATGTCCTTTCCAGAAGCTGCAAAGTGAGTTTTTGGGATAATTAAAAATTAAAAAAAAAGTTTTTTTTTGAAATTTTTTTAAAAGTGTCTCAATTGTCCAAAATATTTAAAATTAGAAAAAAAACTTTTGTCCTGCCCCTCTGACGTCGTCAACTCCCAAAAAAGTGTCCTTTTTTGTCCGAAAAAGTCCAGAAAATTTGGAAAAAATCGAAAAGTTCTAGTCCCAAACCACACCGGACTGGCTGAATCTGTATCTTTGTGGTGCTGGAATGGAAATGTACACCGACACATTATCCCATTCTTTCGTCGGAATGACATTTCCCGAAGCTGTCGAGTAAGAAAACATTTTTGGAAACTGCCGTAGCCCACTATAATAGAAGACCAACTTATACTTGCACTTTGAACCGATTTATCTCGGTTTTTGTAACAGATATCAAAAAATAGTCAACTGATAAAACGCTTATCATAATATAAGCAACATTTTATTAGTTGAAAATATTTTGATATCTCTCACAAGAACCGAGATAAATTGGCTCAAAGTGCAAGTACCGAATGACCTTCTATTAGAGTGTTAAAGGTGGGGGGACATGAAAAAAATAATGTTCTCGAAATTCCGTTCAAAGATGCCTCTCGAGGAGTTGAACTTGTGAGGGCGATGATTGAGGGTGCGGCACCGCTACCGACTGAGCCACGCGGGCAAAGAGAAAGCGCACGCCCGATTGCATACATAAAGGCGAGGACGACAGCTGTACGCAGAGTGACATTAAGCGTTGTACACCTTGACGGTAGAATGCATACTCTAGCTACAAAAAAACTACGAAAAATCTCCTGTCCCCCCACCTTTAATGGTAATTTTTTTGAACTAATTTTTTTGAAGAGTGCTTCTAACATCATTTTTCTGACAGCTTTTTTGTGACTAACCAAAGTTTCTGAAAATCTCTGATTGTCATGACCTAAAAATCCAAAAAATTTAGGTCATCATTTAAATATCCAAAAAATTGGGTCATCATTTAAGTATCCAAAAAATTAGGTCATAACCTAGAAATCCAACAAATTGGGTCATGACTTAAAAATCCAAAAAATTAAGCCATGACCTAAAAATCCAAAAAATTTAAATCATCATTTAAATATTTAAAAAATTAGGTCATGATCCAAAAACTCGAAAAAGTAAGGTCATGACCTAGAAGTCCAAAAAACTGGGTCAGGACCTATAAAACCAAAAAAATAGGTCTTGAACTAGAAATCTAGAAAATTGGGTCATGAACTAGAAATCCAAAAAATTAGGTCACGATTTAGAAATCCAAAAAATCAGTTGAAAAAAATTTAAAAAATGCATAAAAAATAACAAAATTAACCCGATTTTTTCAAATCTCCTCCTGCCGTTTTTCCTAACCTACTAAATTCCCAAAAAATGCCAGTTTTCCCTGCTAACCCAATTTTTCGCAGTCTTCTTTTCAACCGTTTGGGTCTTCTGCTGCTGGCAATTGAACTGAAAGACGAGGAAAACAAGGAATGCAATATTGCAATAAATCCGGGACCAAACATTGTAATCCAACCTCAAACTCAAGGATTTTTCATCGCTCAGAGTGCAGATGAAGTGAAAAGAGCATTTTTCTGGTGCAAACAGTGTCATGATGATATCAAGGACGTTTCCATGATTAAGAAGTGTAAATGTAAAAACTGTGAGTTTTGAGTTTGATAATTAAGAAGAGCAAGAAAAAAGCTTTAAAATGAGTCTAAACTTGCTTAGGATTTTCTGAAAAAAAATTTTAAAAAATTAAAAAAAATTTTTTTTAATTTTAAGTTTTAAATTTTTAAATTTTTAAAATTTTTTTTTAATTTTCAAATTTTTCAGTGGCTCTCTTCCGGCGGAACACAAAACACTCAACTACAGCTCGTGGTAAATATTGAATTTTCCATTTTTATCAAAAAAAAATTCTGAAATTCTCCAAAATATTTTTTTTCTCTGTTCAGACTATTCGGATTTTGATGCTCTATTCTATCAGAATGACGGTAATCTATATAGCATGAATCGTTCAAATTTTTGTGAAAAAATTTTTTTGCATAAAATTTAGATTCCTCTCCCATGCAGCACGCTTTTTGTATTGTGGTTTTTTTAGCATATCATCATTTTTTCCACAGCTTTTTTCATTTTTTGGTTATGATTAGTTGTTTATTTAATTAGCCTAATTATCGTTAATTGGTTTGTTTTGAAGTTTCAGCTAGAGCCACGGAAGTACTTCAACAATTCCAACCACAACCACCGATGGGCGGTCCAATGGGACATTTAGGACAGCAGGTCCAATTAAGAATGATTAATCAGCAGAGGTTAGTAATTTTTATTAATTTTCGGGGAGTGTAAAGTCTTTGGAGCTGAAAATAGAGTGAAAATTCAGAAAAATTCAGAAAATTCGGTTAAATCTGAATTTCTGAATTTCTGAATTTCTGAATTTCTGAATTTCTTAATTTTTGAATTTCTTAATTTCTGAATTTCTGAATTTCTGAATTTCTGAATTTCTGAATTTCTGAATTTCTGAATTTCTGAATTTCTGAATTTCTGAATTTCTGAATTTCTGAATTTCTGAATTTCTGAATTTCTGAATTTCTGAATTTCTATGAATTGAAAACTGAAAAATTCCGAAATTCAAGAAATTCAAAATTCGAATAAATCAGAAAATTCAAGAAATTGGAAAATTGAATAATTTCAAAATTTCAGAAAATCGAAAAATGAGAAATTTAAAATTTTCCAAAAATTAAAAATTTTAGCTGGTTTTCAGTAAATTTTAGCTGGTTTTCAAACTTTTCAAAAATTTCAAAAATATTTCAGAGAATTTTTTAAAGATTCAATTTTTCACAATTTTTCAGCTTTAAGAACTTTTCTATTCTTCAAAATTTGCTTATATTTATATAATTTTCAGATTAAAAAAAAACAAAAAAAAAGTTTCCCTGTCCCTTTAAATTATTGTTTTCTCTGTCCTATAATTGTTTCAATTGTCAATATTTACAACAAAAAAAAATGCATTTTTTAACCAAAATACCGAAATACCTGTATTAGAAGGGCCGGCCCTTCTCTTGTTCCAAGGTACCTCCGGAGGGTCCTTCTATTAAAGGGGCCTTCTATTAAAGTGGCCCTTCTAATGCAGGTTTTACGGTGACAAAAAAAATCTCTAAGCCAAGGTTTTCAAAATTTCTTGCAGTTCGACGAGTGATACTCACCTCAACACGAAATCTCTTCGATTTGCGTATGAAATCAAAAAACTCATGTAGGAAGATTATTGTCTTTTTTATTGATTTATTGATTTTTTTTTTCCAATTTTTTATTTCATCACCTACACCTCTAGATGCTATATTTTCCTATATATGTGTACCTCCTTTAGAAAATTCGAAGTTCGAAAAAAAAAATTTTGCGCCAAAAAAATTTGTAGATCAAAAAAAGTTTTTTAGCTGGAATGAACTTTTTCTAGATTAAGTTTTTTTCTGCATGATTTGATTCACACACTACCCCTTTGCTTCCAATAGTACTGAGTTTTTGTGTGGTTTGGCGGGAAATTTGAATTTTTTGAAAAAAAAAATTCAAATTCCCTCCAAATCAACTAGAAACTTTGCACATTTTCCTATCCTTCTAAAGTGTCATGTTCCAAACCACAGATATGATTTATTTTTCAAAATAGTTTTAGTTGTTTTATTTTTATTTTTTTATCTCACCAATCTATAATCGCATCTCAAAAAATCACACCAACCCAAACACACCACACACACATACACCGCTTTTACCAGCTAGATTTTTATAATTTTCAGAAAAAAAATATATATCTGAAAATTTTTGAAATTTTTCATTTTCAGGCCATCGTCTGGAGGACGAAGGAACTCGATGAGCATACCACCAGATGGGCGGGGCGTTGATTTTAGTAAAGATTTCGAGCAGCAGGTTGGTTTTTTCTGGAAAGATTCAAAAATTCTAAACGTTTTGATACAAAATTCTTTGAAATTAAGGAAAATCAGGACGAGGTATGGAATTTTGAATTTTTGACAAATTTTTTTTAATGAGGTTCTTTCTCAGGGAGAATCTTTCCTAGTGAAGAATCGTAATGTGGATCCTTCTTACAATTAATGAGAATTTCTCTTATTGAGAATTTTTCCTAGTCAGGATTTTTCTTAGTGAGAATCTTTCTTAAAGGTGGGGGGACAGGAGATTTTACGGGGGATTTTTGGGGCCAGAGTATGCATTCTACCGTGACGGTGTACAACGTTTAATGTCACTCTGCGTACAGCTGTCGTCCTCGCCTTTATATATGCAATCGGGCGACCGCTTTCTCTTTGCCCGTGTAGCTCAGTCGGTAGCGGCGCCGCACCCTCAATCCTCGTCCCACACGTTCAACTCCTCGAGAGGCATATTTAAACGAAATTTCGAGAACATTATTTTTTTCATGTCCCCCACCTTTAATGAGGATCCTTCTTAGTGACAATTTCTCTTAGTGAGAATCTTTCCTAACAAGGGTTTGCTTAATGAGGATCCTTCTTAGTGAGAATCTCTCTTGCTGAGAATCTGTCCTAGTGAGGATCTATCCTAATAAGGGTCTTGTTAAATGAGGACCATTCTTATTGACAATCTTTCTTAGTGAGAATCTTTCCTAGTGAGAATCTTTCTTAATGAGGATCCTTCTTAGTGAGGATCTCTCCTAATAAGGGTCTTGTTTAATGAGAATCTTTCTTATTGACAATCTTTCCTAGTTAGAATCTCTCTAGTGGGTTAATCTCCCTTAAGGATCTAAGAATCTGAGAAAAATTGTTGAATCCAAAAAATTCCCACTTTCCAGTTCCAAGACATGAAATACGACAGTACTGGAATGTTTCATTGGTGCCCGAGCCGGAATCTCGAAGACTGTGTCCTCGAAAGACATCAAGCCGCAATGACAGTACTCAATGGCCACGTGGTTGTCTGCTTGTTTGCTGATCAGGATTCTCCATTAATTGGATTACGAAACTTCATCATGCCATTGAGATCGTCGAATTTCCATTATCACGAATTGAAGCATGTTGTTATTGTGGGCGATTTGGAATACTTGAGAAAAGAGTGGAAAACGCTGTATAATTTGCCGAAAATCTCAATTTTGAATGTGAGTTTTTTTTTTCATTTTTGGAGTTTTCCAAAAAATTTCAAAATAAAGCTTTTGTAGCTATAGTTTCGCTGAATCTTCGAGCTACTGAAACAAAGCTTAAAACTTGTCTCATCTTTTTGAAATTTTGTGAGTATATGAAACAAAAATAGAGCTTCATTTTTGTAGTTGACAACTTTTCTGTTAAATTGAATCCTGAAAAGATATGAAGGCTAGAAAAAGTCAAGTTTGGCACCTACTACGCAGTATCAAACACCAGCTTTGCTACTGCTCAGCAGTACCGAAATCAAAGAAATCTTGCTTTTACTTTTTTGTTTTTATGCGAATTCGATAAAAATTTTACAGTTTAATTTCTTGTACCAAAGTGCATTGATTTATAAAAAAATATGAAAAATTCGCAAAAAAAAAACAATTTCCAAACATTTTCAGGGCTCCCCACTATCTCGAGCCGATCTTCGCGCCGTTAACATCAACCTATGCGACATGTGTGTTATTATCTCAGCACGTGTCCCGAACACAGAAGACACCACACTGGCAGATAAGGAGGCAATTCTGGCATCGTTGAATATCAAAGCAATGCAATTCGATGACACATTGGGATTCTTCCCAATGAGACATCAAACTGGAGATCGTAGTCCATTGGGTAGTCCGATTTCTATGCAGAAGAAAGGTGCAAAGTTTGGAACTAATGTGCCAATGATTACGGAATTGGGTGAGTCTGGGAAAATTGGAACAACGCAAATATGCTTTTGAAGTTTGACCATTTCAAAAGTATATCCAAAAATATTCAATTGATCTGAAAATATCAGAACACACTAAACAAAAATAGAGCTTCATTTTTGTAATTGACAACTTTTTCGAAAAATCTTTCTAAAAAGAGATATACGTCTTTGAAAAGCTACTAACATATTTTCTACTGCCCAACAGGTGACAAACGGTGTTTTGCTACTGCCTAGCAGTAGTAAAGTTAGATTTTGGTACTGCTTGGCAGTAGCAAAACCCCAATTCGCTCCTTCTACCATTTTCCATGTAGCATATATTTTTTGGAGTCATTTCACAAAAAAGTTGTCAACTACAAAAATGAAGCGCTCTTTTTGTTTAGAATGTTCTAAAATTTTCAGTTTGATTGAAAAATTTCGAAGTACTGTTCTGAGTGTTTAAAGTTAAGCATTTTTTATGAATAATTAATCAATTTAAAGCTGAAACTGTTCTGAAAATTTCTAAAATCTCCAAAAACTTTTAAAAATTCAAAAACCCCTTTCTCAGTAAACGACTCCAACGTGCAATTCCTCGACCAGGACGACGATGACGATCCGGATACCGAACTCTACCTCACCCAACCGTTTGCGTGTGGTACTGCTTTTGCTATCTCGGTGCTCGACTCGTTGATGAGTACGGTAAGTGAAACTTTTTACATAAAAACACGGTCAAAGTTCTTTAATTCTGAAAAACTAATTTTCATTAAAATTGGACGGAAATGAAGCGAGTTACGGTCATTCTGGCAGTTGCAAAATTATTAAACAATTTGTTTGCTCCAAGATCCAAAAATTTTCAAAATACATCAGAAAACTGTTTTTTATTGTTTTGTGTTTATTACAAGCTTCAAAATGAGCCCAAACTTGCCTAGGTTCCGCGCATTTTGAAATTTCACCCAGACGCGAGACGCACGACCGCGACGCGCCTGAAAAACCAAAGTGCGCGGAGCCAAGGCAATATGGGGCTGGTTTTGAAGCTTGTGGCAAGCTGATTTCAATAAAATTACTTTAAAAGTTTAAATCTAAGATCTAAATAAATTTTTTGGCAAAAAATGTTTTTTTTTTGAAAATTTTCAGTTTTTAGAAATGATTTCAAGCTTATTTTTATATATTGTTAGCTCATTTTTTTTATGATTTTCAGCTCAATTCTTAGCAAACAAATGTGAAAAACTTTCAGACCTATTTCAACGACTCAGCGCTCACCTTGATCCGAACCCTAGTCACCGGTGGCGCCACCCCAGAACTCGAGCTGATTCTAGCCGAAGGGGCGGGGCTTCGAGGTGGCTACAGTACTCCAGAAACGCTATCGAATCGAGATAGATGTCGAATTGCTCAAATATCGCTGAGCGACAATCCGTACGAAGGTGTAGGGGTAAGAAATTGTTTTTAAAAAATTTAATTTCAAAACTTTCAATTTTCAGCACAATACAACGTATGGCGCAATGTTCACAATTGCACTCAGGAGGTATGGACAGCTTTGTATTGGATTGTACAGGCTGCATGATCAAGACAATCCTGATTCCATGAAACGATATGTGATTACGAATCCGCCGGCGGAGTTGAGGATTAAGAGTACAGACTATGTGAGTTTTCCAAGATTTCTGAAAGAAAATTCAGTTGTAATTGCTTGGAGTTTTTGTTTGAACCTGCTAAAAATTCTACTAAGCAAGTTACAGTCATTTTCCTAAAGAAAAAAATAAGACATGAAATTTTTGCTAAGAAGCTTTTTGAAATCATTTCAAAAATAGTTAAAATTCAGTTTTTTCAAACCGCCAGAGTTTGCTGATTCTGAAAATATAAGTTTCATGAATCTTGAGCAAAAACTACGCGAGTTACAGTTCTTTTTCCGAGAAGGTCTGTAAAATTTGCTACTGCCCAGCAGGTGCAAAACAACTTTGCAGTAGCAAAATTCACTGCTCCAGGCCTTACGAACTGTCATAACTCGCTTTATTTTTGTTCAAATTTTATAAATTTTACATTTTTTGAATTAACGCTTTGAGGAGCACAAAGTTCTCTAAAATCTGTGAGGTTTCGGAGAAATCTGGGCTAGTAACAGCCATTTTTCTAGAAAAAAATGAAGAACATGAAACCTCGGCTAAAATTCTTTTGAATTTTTATGAAACATTGTTGAAATTTAACTTTCTGAAATTGTTAAAATGTGCTGATTCAGAAAATATAAGTTTTATAGAATTTGAACAAAATCTAAGCAAGTTACAGGTCTTTTTCTGAAGCGATCTGTGAATTTTGGTACTTCTTAGCAGTACCAAAATCGGGAAATTCTTGTTGTAACTTTTTTACTTTTTGTCCATTTTCGATGAAAATACTACAGTTACATTCCTAGTTCTAATGCGCATAGATATATACAAAAATTTGATAAATTCAAAAAAAAATGCTACCAATGTTCTTTATATTTCAATTTTCAGGTCTACGTACTCGAACAATTCGATCCCGGACTTGAATACGAGCCGGGAAAACGACAATTCTAGGAACTAATTTCTTTCATAATTATCTCTCCCCAATTAATTATCTAAATTGCCAAAACGGGTCTTGCCCCCCTTTCCAAACCAAATCATGAAAATTTGCCGTGACCAAAAAATTTAAAAATTAATTACTATGTCTAAAAATTGCTCATTCTTAGGTTATACTGTTTTTCTTTTTTTTTCGAATTGACACTTAAGGGTACTTTTTTTTCTCGTGGACCTGAATTCCAAGAATGAAACTGGATCTTTTCAATTTTTTTGCTAATTTTTTAAAAACTTGTTTCTTACTTTTTGGTACTTTGAATTGCCTTATTTCGACTATTGCCGATGATTGATAATACTGGATAAATGGTTTTTTAAACTTTTAAATTTGTTTTTTCTTGTTGAAGAAATCCGAAAAAAAATACGTAAAACCTGTAATAGAAGGGCTTTCTTGTTTTTTACATGAAACCAATTTATCTGGCTCCCTGTAAGAGATATCAAAAAGTGATCAACTTATAAATTGTTTATCATAATATTAGAAACACTTTTTATCAGTTGACAGATTTTTGATATCTCTCGTGGGAGCCGAGATAGTTTAGCTCAAACTTGACTGTGCAAAGGTTTTACGATAAATGGTCAAAATATCATCTTTTCCTAATCATCAATTTTTAACTAGACAGATTTTTATCATCTTTCTTTGCAAAAAATATAGAAAAAATAAAAATATTGAGAAGATAATAAATCGTCTCTTCACATGTACAGCATGTGAGAAAACAAGGGATTAAAAAACTGATGTTCACTCAATTACAACGTTTTAAGAAGATTTCAAATTTAGATTAATTCAAACCGTCTGAAAAGGCTAGTTCTGCAAATATCAATTTTTGAAAATTGGATGAAAACTGAGCGAGCTACAGGTCTTTTTCTGAAAAAGGTTTCGAATTTTGGTACTGCTTAGCAGTAGCAAATTTCCAAGTTGCTAAGCAGTATCAAAATCGGAGGCATTTTATTCTCTGAAAGATCTGAAAGAATCTGAAAGATTTGGTACTGCTTAGCAGGTGCAAAAAACAAAAAGAGAGGCATCAAACTTTGAAATAGAACTTCATTTATTTATTTCAAAAATAGAAATTTAGTTTTTTGAAATTGTTAATTTTCGCTAATTCAGAAAATTCAGAAAATATAAGTTTCATGAAATTCGGACAAAAACTAAGCGAGTTACAGTTGTTTTTCTGAAGCGATATGCAAATTTTGGTACTGCTCGGCAGTAGCATATTGAAATTTGCACCTGCCCAGCAGTAGCAAAATCGATTTTGCTACTGCTTGGCAGGTGCAAAATTGAACTACGCTTAACTTTAGATGCTTATAACTGTGCTTAAAATCAATATTAAAAATTGATTCTTGTTTTAAATGAAAGCTAAAAATCAGGGCTTCAATTTGATATAAAGTTCGTAAAGTAAAATAAAAAATTTACTACCGAGAAACTGGTTTGAATAGAGATTCCCGAAAGTTATTACCGTAAATTCCCCGAAAGTTATTACCGTAAAACCTCTAATAGAACGACACCCGGATCGTCCGCTTTGAGCCTATATATCTCACTTCTTTTGAAAGATGTCAAAAAGTGGTTAACTAGTAAAATGTTTATCANGATATCAGCAACATTTTACTACTTAACCACTTTTTGACATCTTTCACAAAAAATGAGATATATAGGCTCAAAGTGGACGATCCGGGTGTCGTTCTATTAGAGGTTTTACGGTATGTTGTACTCAGTTTAGACTCAAATTACCAAAACCAAAACACCAATTAATCAATTATCCAATTAATTCTTCAATCATGCGTAACAGCAACCCAAAAGTGACCTTTAACCAATCTCCACTCGTCATCATTTTTTGTATTCTTCTGATTTTTTCACTAATTTCGCCTATAAAATTTTGTCCTTCGTCTTCATTTCTTATCATATACAATCAGAGTTCATATCAATTACCCCCATATATAAGAATCAAAAACCTGTTTTTGCTGTCTGCTTTTCTCTAAATCTCTCATTTTATTTGTTCTCTCTAAATTCTTTCTTTTCTAATTCAACCCAGAAAATCAAACAATCTAAAAAAATATAGTACAGATTAATTTTTTTATTGCAAATTACTCTTTAATCACTCTCTCAAATGGCTTACGCTGATTCTGAAACTACAGAATCGGATTCCGATAATCCGCCAGTGTTCTATACTGTACACAATGCAAAATCTGATAGTGGGCAACCGGAAGAACATGTGCACGGACTTGATGATTATATTCAAATGGGAAAATATGTTTTACTAGTTTGCCTAGCCGCTGAATTGCTCATTTTACCACAAGTTTCGTCCATGTTCTATATGATGTATGCAGGTGGGACATTTTTTTCTAAAATTATCAAATTTCAAACTACCGTAACCTGCTTGATTTTAGCTGGAAATCAAAAATGTTTAAATTTTTGAATTCAGCTAATTGAGCGGATCAAAATGAGTGTAATCATGCCAAAACAACTATCTTTGAAAAAAAACTTTTCAATTTTTTGAATTTTTCAGATTTCAAAATAGTATATTTTCAGGAGCCGTCCTCGAGTCGTATCATGTGACAATACAGTGTTCGATCCGTTGTTGGAAGGAAAAGAAATTTGTTTTGAAATCGATAAAATCGGAAATTGCTCTCATCCCAAATTTAAGTACCAGTTCAAAAGTGTCAATGTTGAGGTAATTAGCTAATTAATTAATTAAGGAAAAAAATGGTAAAATCAGCTAACTTCTTGGAACATCCAAAGTTTCGAATAAATCGAAAGTTTGGAAAAAAAATTAAAGATCAGAAATTTTCAAAAATGCATAACTTCTGTAATGTTGGTCCGATTATCAAAATTTTGGTATTGTCTGAATCCTGAAGACTCTAATTTTTTAGTACAACTACTTCTGTGACACCTCGAAACAAGTAAAAAATTCAATTTCGGTTCAAATGTTTGGAGTTCTGGCTGGATCGATAGTTTTTGGACAAGTTAGTGACTCATTTGGAAGAAAAGTTGCCGTACAAATCGCTTCGTTTGGAATGATTGTTGGGTGGTTGTTGGTGTGTCAGAGCCGAAATTTATTCCATTTTACTGTGACAAGAACGATTACTGGGTTTTTTACCGGTGGAAGCGTTTCGTGAGTTTTGGGACCTAATTTTGGTTTTTGAATTTTTGAATTTAGTTGAGTTTGAAAAAAGTTAAGACTGCTTGAAGTTTTGTGGCCTAGAAATTTGAACTTTGGTTTTCAGGATAAGTTTGAATATTTGAAAAAGATCTAGTTTAAAGAGTATTATGACTGCTTAAAGTTTAATAACCTAGAAATTCGAAATTTGAACTTCTAGGCCACGTTTGAAATGTGAAATCCATCTCGTTGAAAGATACCGTAAACACTCTAATAGAACGCCACCCGGACTGTCCACTTTGAGCCTATATATCTCACTTTCTTTGAAAGATTTCAAAAAACGGCCAACTAATAAAATGTTTATCGTGATATCAGCAATATTTTATCAGTTGACCACTTTTTGATATCTTTCACAGTAATCGAGATACATGGGCTCAAATTTTACAATTCGGGTGGCGTTCTATTAGAGTGCTTACGGTGATTCTGATTGCTGGAACTTTAAAAGGAGACTCCGACCAAAATTTTTTTTGCATTAAAATGTGTTAAAAGTTATCTGTTTTCCGAATATTATTGCGAAAAAATTCAAAGAAAATCCGAAATCCCCGAAAAACGGCGTTGGAAAAAACAAAAGGAAAAAATTCAAAAAAAAGGTGCCGCCGGGGGACGAAGATTTTCAGTGAGAAACCTAGGCCACGGCACCTGACAGCCTTTTTTTCAAGTCGTTTTTTACGTTTTTTACCTGCCGGACATGAAATTGAAAAAAATCCGTAAAAATTGCCACGTANGAAAGGCGCCCGCTGCCGTGGCCT